ATTCCCTACATGGAGTTTTTAAAACATGGTTTTAAGCAAGGTTTTAAGCGATTTGGGGGGATTTCCTTCTGGTCTAAACATCCCTGCTTCTGCTGAATTATTTGAATCCCCACACCCCTCCCTCCACAGTAATCAATGCTAATAGGCTACTTCACCAATAGACCATATACAAATTACAATATATAAAATAAAGATATGCAACAGGCACGTTTAAACGACAAACAATAAAATCAAAACCAGCGTTTCAGTTCGACAAACGCGCGCGGCGCTTTCACTTGGATTTATTTTTCTCATAACAGCTAAAATAAGTTAATAGGCTACTCCGTATTTTTTTGCCTACATCGTTCAAAACTGTAAACTTTTATTCATATTAGGCTAACAACTAAATTTTAGCTGTCGTCTCCGTCTCTCGTCTCTGTCTCCGGGAACTGCGCGTCACAAAAATGAACCGAAAGCCACTTGCCTCAGCTCAGTCACGATAAGAAATCGCTATAGGCTATCTAAAGCATTTAAATGTCTAAATGTTTAAGAAATGTTATCTGATTATGTAATCCATCTGAAACTGAGAGGTACAGACAGGGCCGGATTAAGAGTTCAGAGGCCCCTGGGCACAATGTCTTGTAGGCTCTTGTAGGTGAATTGCGACTTCTCTTTAAGTCAGTCTCAGACTAGCCTGTTGGGGGTTTGGAGGGACAGTGGCTTTATCGTGCGCAGGACAAAAGGTGTTAATGTTCGTCTTTCATATGGAGATGTCGGATAGCCAGCCCGATGAGCAGGCAAAGGCACAGTTCTTTTAAGGATACATCTCTCGATGTGTCCAATGCCCTATATTTTAATTAATTATAAATAGGCCTATAATTGTGGCAGAAACAGAGCTCTTTAATTCGCGATCAACCTCGTTTTATTGTAGGGTGAATTCAACAAGGCATGCTGTGTCTTTGAAGTAACAAAGGCTAAATAATTTGTTACAGTTTTTTTGGAGAGAGGGAGACAAAATTAACTTGCCAAAAAGATATCACTACAGATATTACTACAGCGCGAGAGAGAGGCAAAGAAAAACACATGTTCTTAATTTATGTCGCTTAGGACTATTATCGTTTTGTACTGTTTTAATTGTTTAATTTAGCTGCAATTTCTTTGGCAATACAGATTTAAAATGTTGCAAGAATAAGATTCTGTGTTTCTTATTTTGCATCGCAAAGGAAATAAACTGTAAACTCAATGCAACCCTGTTTAAATGAATAAATTGTTCCGACACTTATGGGGTTTCAAACTTTTAGTGTTTTTACATTTTCATTTGTTTTTATATTGAAAGCAATACTATTTAGTATTATTTAGTTATTTTGTGTAGCCAAGTTAACAAAATCAGTCTTTTCTGATTTGTTCAATGTTTTGAAAAATTCTTCCGTTGCTATGGCCGGGTAGCCTATCAGTGTTATCTTAATTTCATGACTGATTCACAAAACAATAATTTAGCAGATTAAAGACGAGCTTCATTATTTTCATTTTCTGACGCGATCAGCTAATCTTCCCTCATCAGTTTTGTCGTGCAGCGGCTCTACTGGAATGTAGCAAATTCATGTTGTAGTGTGCCATTAATAATATTAAACAAAAACGCTTGACTTTAAATAAATAAACAGTTAATGAACTCACTAATAAACAATTATCCATGTTTAAGCATTAAGAACAGTAACACATAAACGAAGTCGGCCAACAGCATACGCTGTAGTGAGATTCGATCTCGGATCACTTAAAGCTCCGTGAGATTAATGTTGTTGCGTTAACCACTGAGCTACCGTCTGAACGCTATTAAATTTGGTCTTGTGCTATTCCAAACCCTCAGGTATAGCCTAATATGTTTCTGTTGCAATGTTTTATGTTGAAAAGTTTTCACTATTTATTCAATTTAATTTCAGTAGTGTGATTATGAATTCGTTTAAACAATGTTTCACTTGAATTCATCTGTTACTTACGAGCTTTCAATTGCTCTGAATGAGCCGCGGCACTGCGGCGATTACGCAATAGAGAGAATAAACTGACACTTTTCACAGTCTGTGATTGTAGCGCCTCTTAGCGGTAAAAGGCAGCAAATACACACCCGAATTTTACCGCCGCGGGAGCGGCGGCGGTAAAAGTATTATTCTGGTTGAGTAGCCTACCCACTGTAGCTTTTAAGGCTTTTCAAGAACTGCACAAATAAAATAAATACGGTATTGGGGGGAGATCGGTGTTTATGGTAACATCCTAAACCATAAAATGATTAAAAATGACAATTTAAACACCTTCTTAGTTCAAATAATACATGTTTGGACAAAAACAAGTCTTATAAAAATATATATAAATTGAGCGGTTCATTCTCATGTTACGCAGCACGTTTGAGCTTCAGCAAGAACCAATGAGGTTCATTCTCGTGTTACGCAGCACGTTTGAGCTTCAGTAAGAACCAATGAGGTTCATTCTCGTGTTACGCAGCACGTTTGAGCTTCAGCAAGAACCAATGAGGTTCATTCTCGTGTTACGCAGAACGTTTGAGCTTCAGTAAGAACCAATGAGGTTCATTCTCGTGTTACGCAGCACGTTTGAGCTTCAGTAAGAACCAATGAGGTTCATTCTCGTGTTACGCAGAACGTTTGAGCTTCCGTAAGAACCAATGAGGTTCATTCTCGTGTTACGCAGCACGTTTGAGCTTCAGCAAGAACCAATGAGGATCATTCTCGTGTTACGCAGCACGTTTGAGCTTCAGTAAGAACCAATGAGGTTCATTCTTGTGTTACAAAGAACGTTTGAGCTTCAGCAAGAACCAATGAGGTTCATTCTCGTGTTACGCAGAACGTTTGAGCTTCAGCAAGAACCAATGAGGTTCATTCTCGTGTTACGCAGCACGTTTGAGCTTCAGTAATGAACCAATGAGGTTCATTCTCGTGTTACGCAGCACGTTTGAGCTTCAGTAAGAACCAATGAGATTCATTCTCGTGTTACGCAGCACGTTTGAGCTTCTGCAAGAACCAATGAGGTTCATTCTCTTGTTACGCAGCACGTTTGATCTTCCGCAAGAACCAATGAGGTTCATTGTCGTGTTACGCAGCACGTTTGATTTTCCGCAAGAACCAATGAGGTTCATTCTCGTGTTACGCAGCACGTTTGAGCTTCAGCAAGAACCAATGAGGTTCATTCTCGTGTTACGCAGCACGTTTGAGCTTCTGCAAGAACCAATGAGGTTCATGCTCGTGTTACGCAGAACGTTTGATCTTCCGCAAGAACCAATGAGGTTCATTCTCGTGTTACGCAGCACGTTTGAGCTTCAGTAAGAACCAATGAGGTTCATTCTCATGTTACGCAGCACGTTTGAGCTTCTGCAAGAACCAATAAGGTTCATTCTCGCGTTACGCAGCACGTTTGAGCTTCTGCAAGAACCAATGAGGTTCATTCTCGTGTTACGCAGCACGTTTGAGCTTTAGCAAGAACCAATGAGGTTTATTCTCGTGTTACGCAGCACGTTTGAGCTTCTGCAAGAACCAATGAGGTTAATTCTCGTGTTACACAGCACGTTTGAGCTTCTGCAAGAACCAATGAGGTTCTTTCTCATGTTGTGCAGCACGTTTGAGCTTCAGCGAGAACCAATGAGGTTCATTTTTGTGTTACGCAGCACGTTTGAGCTTCAGCAAGAGCCAATGAGGTTCATTCTCGTGTTACGCAGCACGTTTGAGCTTCTGCAAGAACCAATGAGGTTCATTCTCGTGTTACGCAGAATGTTTGAGCTTCCTCAAGAACCAATAAAGTTCATTCTCGTGTTAAGCAGCACGTTTGAGCTTCTGCAAGAACCAATGAGGTTCATTCTCGTTTTACGCAGCACGTTTGAGCTTCTGCAAGAACCAATGAGGTTCATTCTCGTTTTACGCAGCACTTTTGAGCTTCTGCAAGAACCAATGAGGTTCATTCTCGTGTTACGCAGCACGTTTGAGCTTCTGCAAGAACCAATGAGGTTCATTCTCGTGTTACGCATGTGAATAAAAGCCTAAACTCAATCATCATATAAAGCGATCGAGTCTTTTCAGAATTTTTTTACTAAACCTCTCGATTCATATGGATTAGTTTTATGATCTCACAAAGTGGTAGTTGCATGTGTGGAGAGAAGTCTCTCAAGATTTGTTTTGAAGATGAGCAAAAGTCTTACGGGTTTGGAACGACATAGTGAGTAATTAATTACTTTTTTTCATTTGTGGGTGAACTCTCCCTTTAAAGGAACACGCCGACTTTTTGGGACTTTAGCTCATTCACTGTATCCCCCAGAGTTAAATAAGTCCATACATACCCTTTTCATCTCCGTTCATGCTGTAACTCTGTCTGACGCACCCACCGCTAGCCTAGCTTAGCACAAAGACTGGAAGTAAATGGCTCCAGCTAGCATACTGCTCCCAATAAGTGACAAAATAATGCCAACATTTTCCTATTTACATGTTGTGATTTGTATAGTCACAGTGTGTACAAATAACAAGGTCATATGAGACACAGGCATCTTTTAACCGTATACATACTGGGAACTATATTCTCAGAAGGCGAAGCACTGCTACTTTTGGGCGGAGTGATTTGCTCGCAGAATGCTAGCTGAAGCCATTTACTTCTAGTCTTTGTGCTAAGCTAGGCTAGAGGTGGGTGCGTCAGACAGAGTTACATCATGCACGGAGATGAAAAGGGTATGTATGGACTTATTTAACTCTGGGGGATACAGTGAATAAGCTAAAGTCCCAAAAAAGTCGGCGTGTTCCTTTAGTTTAACCAGAGATAACTGTTGTCTAACATAAAATGTGAACATTACAATATATATATATATATATATATATATATATATATATATATATACAGTATATATATATATATATATATATATATATATATATATATACACTACAATAAATCTCACAAATGTTTATGTTCAGATGAAAAATTAAGTTATCGTTTTTGATTTAGATATTTTATTGAAAAAGTCCTTGTGATCTCACCTGGTTTCATCACTGTGTGGATCGCTTTCGCTCCCGCTTTGAGATCCGGCCAGTAATAATAACAGTTACAGTGAAACACCTTGTCAACAGTGTTTTCCTCTATCGGCATGGCCACCAAATCACTGTGATACAACACAGCCTTTCCTCTGGAGATCTGCTCCTCCATGCGCTTGCTGGCCATCTGATGCATGTATTGTGATTAGTCCACACCCAGCAGTTTCCCTCTCGGGCCCATGAGGAGCTGCGAGGCCTCCTGAAGACCGAAGCCCGGCCCGTGACCCAGCTCCAGCACTGTGTCGTTGAGTTGTATGTTGCTCAATTTCACTGCATTCTCCTCCAAAATCTGATTGTGCCATTTAAGGAATTTGGTCACCAACCATCCAGATAAAGAATACGTGGGGTGACCCAGATGTTTGCCCACTTTCTTGGACAGCATTTCTAGACACACAACAAAACAAATAAATATTTTACACAAGGACATTTGTTATGACTAAAGCAGAGGCCTTGAGTAGACATGCATAATAAAGGAATAATATCCTCATTTTAATACATACACCCAATGTTATATTTAACTAATATTTATCACAATGGTGGATGAAAAAGCAGTAATAGAATGGTTTTACCATTAATAGAGTGTTGGAGGGATGGCGTCAAAACCAATTCGCCCCTGGTTCCGTCGACATTTTCGTATGGGCTTTTTCAATTTATGAGTAAAATAAAGCCTGTGGTAAACAAAACTTGACGATACTTGGATGCAAATTTTGAAGCAGTTGTGTTTATTTTTGAAAACGCATGTTTCTAATAAGTTACTTACTAGATAAGACCGTTTGGGGCATGAGTGTGTGCAGTTTACGTTATAGAACAAAATGTCAAAGTTTTGTAAATTGAAAACCCCATCTTTAACCCCCCCATTATAAAAAATAGGAGAATCTTGAGGGAACCAGTGGGGAATTAGTCTTCTGTGTTTTGACGTTCCTGTACTAATCTATTGGCTGTTTGTGGTTTGTTGTGTTGCTAACTTTAACCAGTAGCCTATCCTAAGCTAATCTGTTATCTGATCAGCTTCCCAGATAGCTTAGAAGAACTCAATATTGTGACAGAAACTTTTGACTCTCTCTTTTCCAGCACTTTAGACACAGTTGATCCTAAAGAAGATTAAAGAAAATTGCCCAACGCCGTGGTACAACGAGCCCTTAAGAGAGCAGCCAGAAAAATGAAGCGCAACTGGAAGAAAATTTCATGGAAAGAGAGCAAGATTGCGTACAGAGAGGCCTTAAAAACTTCTAGATCTGCTTATTTTTCAAACCTATTAAAAGAAACTAAACAAAACCCTTGGTATTTATTTGAACAAGTGGCTAAACTAACGAAAAATAAAGCTTCAACCCCAGACTTTTCCAAGCAGCACAGCAGTAATGACTTTATTAACTTCTTTACTTACAAGATTGATAATAGCATGGAGAAAATTATTTCTATGCAACCATCTACTACAGTATCACATCAGGCAGTGTCTTGTAGTCTCCCTGAGGAAAAATGTAATTCATTCATTGCTATATGAGAGGAAGAATTTTCTAAACTCGTTAAATCATCTAAATCGACAACATGTATGTTAGACCCTATAACGACTAAGCTATTGAAAAAAGATGCTTCCAGAGGTCATAGATCCTCTTCTTAATATCATTAATTCATCTTTGTCATTAGGATACGTACATAAAACTTTTAAGCTGGCTATGATAAAACCGCTTGTTAAAAAAACGCAGCATGATCCTACAGAATTAGTCAATTACAGGCCGATCTCGAATCTACCTTTTCTGTCAAAGATACTAGAAAAAGGCAGTATCCTCACAACTATGTTCCTTTTTAGAAAGAAAGGGTATCTGCGAGGATTTCCAGACAGGATTTAGACCGTATCGTATTACCGAGACTGCTCTCATTAGAGTCACAAATGATTTTCTCTTATCACCCGATCGTGGCTGTATCTCTCTATTGGTGTTACTCGATCTTAGTGCTGCATTTTATTCTATTGACCACAACATTCTTTTAAATAGACTCGAAACATATGTTGGCATTAGTGGAATTGCATTAGCATGGTTTAAATCATACCTTAGCTGACCGTTATCGGTTTGTTGGAGTAAATAAAGAGATGTCTTATCGATCACAAGTTCAGTATGGAGTACCACAAGGTTCAGTACTAGGACCGTTGCTGTTCACTCTGTACATGCTACTGTAGGAAACTCAGAAGCGAAGACCAGAAGACTCTTGTTGTATCTTCAGCAGGATTCTTTATTGAGAACACAAGCTGTTGGTAGCTGCAGTCATCAAGTCTGACTAAGGCCCCATCCACACTACTGCGTTTTAGTTTAGAAACGGAGAATTAAAACGAATACGATCTCCGTCCACACCAGCGTTTTAGCTGCGTATTAGAATTGATCTCCGTCCACATTAAAACGACTGAAAACGCGGATCACGTGACCATTCACCAACACTGGGCATGCGCGTGCCGGTGTAAACACAACTTCATTGATAAAATTATCCCACCATGCTCTGGGTTAACCACAAACCGACGCTCCGTACGGTCAACGCCGCCGCTGCACACGGGGAATTGTCACAGATCGCTCGAATAATAGCTTCACTCCGGCGCATGTAGGCAGTTATAGCGTTGTAAAATGCAGAATTTACTTGTACAACAGCTGCTAGCAAAGATATAGGCTACGCCATGACTGATGACACCCAATCATAGAGCCGAGCGTGAGCCTCTACTACGTCATCGTTTCTAAAGTCCTCCGTTTTGACCCGTCTACACTAAAACGCCCTCCGGAGAATCAAAACGAAAAACGGGTCGGCAGCGTTTCTAAACTTCTCCGTTTTGGGTCTCCGTTTTTTCCGTTTTAGTGTGGACGGGAGGTGCAAACGTAGCAAAAGGTCTCCGTTTTTAAACGAAAACGCAGTAGTGTGGACGGGGCCTAAGGGAACTTTACATGGTATCTTATAGGCATTCAGTGGGCAGTCCTTAAAGGTGCTTACAGTCCTTAAAAGTGTTGACCTACACACAGCCTAAGAGATGACCACTAAATCAAATCATCTAAAGACAATACAGGCAATTACCCCCAACTGTGAAGATAATGGTACCCCCCAATTGTAAACATCACATGGCCACAATAACTAAGACTATGTAAACATTCACACATAGTTTGACTCAGTATGAAGATGAAAGACTGACAAAACCCCTTCAATAGAAACTATATTGAATCTAATCAGTAAATTGATGCCATCATGTTCACCTTGAATGCCCAATACAGTGTAGATCACCTTAGTTTTTCATGTGATGTTATGTAAGGATGTAGGATCAGCAGATCTTAAACAGATTCTTAAATTTGTAATCCCACACAACCCTTGGGAGATATCATTAGGAAGCATGGGATTAGTTTTCACTGTTAGGCTGATGATACTCAGCTCTAAATTTCTTCACGCCCTGACGAAACTTACCAATTCACAAAATTAACGGAATGCATAGCTGATATAAAAAACTGGATGACTAGTAATTTCCTCCTACTTAATTTGTTCTATATTCTGAAAAATATTCTGAAAAAAAAAAAACAGAGATTTTAATTATTGGACAAAAAACTTCCTCACATAATAACCTAAAATACTGTCTAACACATGATGGCTGCTCTGTCAAGTCTTCGTCGTTGGTTAGGAACCTGCGTGTGCTCTTTGATTCCAATCTTTCATTTTAAAGTCAGGTTTCTAGTATCTGTAAAACAGCATTTTGCCATCTTAAATATATATCTAAATTACGTCATATGCTCTCAATGATAAATGCAGAACAATTAGTTCATGCATTCATGACATAAAGGCTAGATTATTGTAATGCTATTATGGGTGGTTGCCCTGCACGCTTAATAAATAAACTATAGCTGGTCCAAAACGCAGCAGCTAGAGTTCTTACCAGAACCAGGAAGTATGACCATATTAGCCCGGTTCTGCATTGGCTCCCTGTTAAACATCCTATAAATTGTTAAATATTACAATTTATACGATGTAAAAGATTACTAACAAAGCACTAAATGGTTTAGCTCCCCAGTACTTGAGCGAGCTCTTAATGCATTATAGTCCTTCACGTCTTTTGCGATCTTAAAATTCCGGCCAGTTGATAATACCTAGAATATCAAAATCGACTGCTGGCGGTAGATCCTTTTCCTATTTAGCACCAAAACTTTGGAACAGTCTTCCTAATATTGTACGGGAAGCAGACACACTCAGACAGTTTAAATCTAGACTAAAAACACATCTCTTTAACCTAGCATTCACATCGCAGTCCTGAAGTGTCAACTAGTCTCTCCTCTGCGAAGGCCTCCTTCCCTTCCCTTTACCTCTGTACAGATAAAACGTTGTCAAAATAATTCCAGTACACATGGCTACGCGGAAGCGATAAATAATCCTGTATTATAAATTAAGGCCAGACAAGTAATTTGTTGAGGTCAAATTTAAAGAAAGACTAAAAGCCTGCACAGATATTCAAACGCGCATACATAGACTAAACACCCAATACGCATGTGCACGCCGTCAGCGTTTTCACAGGTTCGCGTTTTTGAAGTTTGCGCAGAGATAACCAGAGATAAGCAGAGATATTTAAATATATATTCAAATGCGCATACTTATAGACTAAACACGTAATACGCATTTTTAAAAAATTTAAGTGCCTGCACCTTGGAACCTATTTCAAGGTTTGCGTTCTCGAGCCACCAGGCACTGTTGTTGTGCGAATGAGCGGGCCGGAGTGTGTTAAGGGTTTTCTGTTAGAACGGTGTCAGGTTAGCGGCCCCTAAGTTAATAACTAATGATCTTTGCAATGGAAGTGAATCAATCAAAACTAACTTTAGCTGGACAATAACTTTATTTTAGAGCTGCTGTAAAGCCAAAACAATCTCTGTTACTACATGGCGCTCTTTAACCCCGCTGTAGTCATTGAAGTGGCAGCATGGCGCCCGACTTTGATGAAATAGGTATTTTTAACATTAAATGTACAGAGAAATGCAGACTAAGGATGGTCAGGTCAAAGACCATATACTTACCCAAAAAGTGCTTAACACAGTAGAACTAACAGTCATATGATTAGCTTAGATCATTACAAACCAATCAACAGAACAAATGAAGACTTGTGACATTGATTTTTACTCAACTATGATTTAAATGTACATGTATCTTTCTATTCAGGAGACTCACTTGGTTGTTGTGGCCAGTGATATCCCAGCCGTGAATAAAACTTAATTTCTACAAAGAGCAACTTGGGAGTCGTGTCAGGTATATGCCGTGCAGCTGAGAAATAGATTCTACGCTCAAAAGACAACAACAGAACATCTATGTGTGATTGAGGTAGTGATAGTAGCTTCTTGTGGGGATGCCGTCACCTTACTTAAAGGGTTAGTTCACCCCAAAATGAAAATTCTGTCAGTAATTACTCACCCTCATGTTGTTCCAACCCCGTAAGACTTTCGTTCATCTTCGGAACACAAATTAAGATATCTTTGATTAAATCTGAGAGCTGGATCACTCCTCCATAGGCTTCTAAGGGATTGAAACTTGCCGGCCCAGAAAAGTTATTAAAGACATCATTATTCACTTAAAGACATCGCTATTCACTTTCTCCTGGACGGGCTGGGAGCGACAGTCTGTCTTACGAAAGATAGTAGCACACACGTACGTTGACGGTTTTATAGCTATGCTACAAGTATAGTTAACAATAATCAAAACCAGTCTACGCGAGTTGATAACACAGCAGTATTATGTATGTGTGCTGCTCCGACGCACTTTACTTTTCTGTAAGGGACCGTGTGAAAATTCCACCGACTGCGCGAACAACGTCTGAGGCGTCCATACATTGATTTAGTTATGACAAAAACATCAATAAAACATTCTCTAAAGGTTATTTACTTACCCCAAATACCTGGAACAGTGCTTAATTATTTCTAAAATGTACCAAAAAGATATTTTACATTCTGACTGTTGTAGTAGGTTCCTAAGGAGTCCCTAAGATAAGTAGCCATTTAAAGTCACAGTGAAATCAATATTGACAATTATTTTATATTGAATATAGTAGTTTATTATAAATTATGCATCCTCAATTCATGTGCCCTCATAATCTTTAATCAAAACAACTTACCCTCCTACTTGCAGCTACATATAACATCTCAATGACATTTTACTGGCGCGAGGGTGGGGCAACCTGTCACTCACGTCATATCCACCAATAGCAAACCACAACCGTCCAATCAATTCCACATGAACAAAATCAAGACCAGCCATATATTTTTCTTGTTTTAAAAGCCATGTCCCTCTGATAAAAGTCGATCACAACTTTTTTCATGTCGACATAACAATCCTGTCATGCATTTTCAGAAATAATCATGCAACAGTGCTGAAAGGTTTTGCCTACCGACAATATATGTTTTGTTTATTTTGACAACTTAAGAGAAGGTCATATGTAAATATGTTTACATTGTCAAAAATAAAAACATATTTCTTGTATATTGGTTACTACTTGTTACTGTTCAGCTATAATTATTGTAATAATCACCTTGTTTTCAGACCACAAGTGAATAAATCCTCAGCAGAAGTGCAAAAGTCAGTGGCATAAACTGAAGATATAAACAGATCCATGCGTGATTTAAACAGGTTGCAATATAGTTTGTTGGGATCTGTTACAGATTGTAAAGTATAATAAATGTGTACTAAGATATCATTTTATATTGACATTTCTAGGCTCTTTAGACAACAGATGCTATAAATGTATTGAGGACTAACGAACAATTCGAGAAAATGCAAATTTTGTGTAACTTTAAATATATTTTATTACATTCACATAATCAACAAGAAAAGTAAACAAGAAAAATAGCCATACTAAAAAGAAACAATTTGTATAATAAACAACAACTTAATCATTGTGTATCAGTCCTTTGTAAAATGATAAACCTACTGCATGCATACTTTCTTGGTATGCTCTAAATTCTCCTGTGCAGTAAGTGCTTCTCTCTTGTGTGCAGTTTTCTTATTTTTATTCTCAGTTGAAGTCTTTTCTTCGGTCTCCACACAACCCTTCAAACACAAGAGGGAAGGGAAACGGAGTGAAGAATTAAATAACAATGGCTCCCCCCAGTGCCTCATGTGTGTAACACAGTGTATGTTGAGCTCAGGCTTTGCCAGACAGTTGAAACACAACAGACCTAAAAAGCACAAATCGTACCTTGTTCTTCTGGATTGCATGTTCAGATGTCCAGTTCTTTGCCTTCTCTAGATAAAGTGGTTTGTTGTATTTAAATTCTGAGGACTGGAAAGTATGTAAGACACTACATTAATTTTCAAGAGCAATGAGAGTCAGAACACCACATGAAGTAAAGAAAGCAAAATCATTGTTTGAACTAACAGCTATTCCCCAACTTCATTCCCTGGTTCGGTCAGTTATGTCATGCTGTTCATAAGTTGCACATTTGATCTTTAAACTGAGGAAGCACAGCAGCTGAACTCACTATATCAGCCATGAGTGGGTCGTCGGGGTTCGGTTCGGCCATCAGTAACTGTATGGAAGTGAGCAATGTTGAAATGTTGAGCGAGGGCCTCCACGCTCCCTTTGAAAGAAAATGCATGAATACCAGGTTAACTAGTTTACAATAGCAACGCATATGCATAAAAAGGTCTACTGTCAGTGTTAATATCCCTACAAGTGTCATATATAAATTATGTTTTGTAAAACATATACAATTCACACTAGAATTATATTAAAGGTTTGGATGAAATTATATTTTCAGTGTTTACCTTTGGTGGCAATTTCAGAGCATCAAGACAAATGCGTCCTGCATTATCAATGTTGGGGTGATAGATGGGTGTCAGGAAACGCATCTTCGGCGGCTCAAACGGATACCTTCAAACATGAGAAAAGTGTTAAATGCGTCTAAAATCTATTTAATAAAATTGCACATTGATGCTAAGATCATTTAACCCTGTGGTAGACTTTAATCATTTTAAACCAAAAAAAGGGCTTTTAAAGGGCACCTATTATGCCTCTTTTTTCTTTTTTCAAGATGTGAAATAAGTCTATAGGCCTGTATACTTGATGTCACCAGACTGTGTATGTGTAAGTTTTAGATCAAAATACCCCACAGATCATTTTTTACAGCATGTTAAAATTGCCACTTTTGGGGGGTGAGCAAAAACACACGTTTTTGTGTGTATCCCTTTAAATGCAAATGAGCTGTGTCAGGACAATCTCATTAATGTCAAAACAGAAACTTTCAGTAACTCTAGCTGTGTTCAGTTCGACCTGGAGTCGGACAATAATGCCTGCAGAGCCAGATAATATATGCTGTATATATATGCTGTATGGAGGTCTAGTTTTGTTCAATTATGGTTATAACTTATTTGTCATCTTGCTTTTATCCACTATTAGTACAAGCCTGCAAAATGCCTGTCTTGGCGAGTATTAAACAGTCAGTTTTGAAAAGTAAATAGTTGAGAGAAAACGCATGTTGTGTAACAGTATTTAGGATCTGCGCAGAAGCTCTTAAAGTGACAGTAGCCTAATGAAGCTGCTGCTGTCTGTCAGGTTAATCAAAGAACAAAAGACAAAAATAAAATCACTTGCTACACTCGACTGACTGAATAACATTTGTAACTTTAATTGCAAGCATTAATCTTGTATTTAATTTTTACAATAAAGCCTATCCAGTGTTATTTTACATTTGATTACTTTAATTTCTGTAGTATTTCTTACCAGAATACTAACTTACTGTTAGACCAACCTGAAAAACGTCATAAAAAAAACCCCTGTTTATTTCATATCTGTCTCTATTCTATCTATTGCATTTATTTGTGCTGTTGTTTGCAATTAGTTTATTAGTTCTTATTTTATTACCGACTTTAATTTGTGGTTGTTGTTTTTTAAAAATAAAATTGTGCATTGAAGAAAACAACATTTTTGTTTGTCAATAGTTATTTGACTATCGGAATCGGCTCAGAAAATTGCAATCGGTGCATCTCTAATATAGCATATGTTAGTAGTTAAACCATGGTATTACATATGAGTTTCATATGGCTTTTACACCAGATGTCACTAATCTCCTTGAAACTCTATTTTAAACCTTTTATAATATCTGTATTATTTAATGAAGAAATAAATTGCGCATATTTAAGAGGTGGAATCCGCTCAAAACATGAAACAATACAGACCGAATTAGTATTTAACTAAAATATATTGTTTTAAATTTCATAAAAAAATAAAATAAAAAAAAACTTACATATATTGCCTTTAATCAGTGTTGACCATCAGGATGTGTACTGTAGGCTCACCTCTCAGGTATGTTGATTTCTAGTGTGAACAGCCCTCCTTCATAGGGAGTGTTTGCACCTCCAACAATCTCTATATCAAACACAGGAGTAACGCAGGAGTGAGGATGCTGTCAATATTGAAGATTTGCTTAGATATGGCCTGTAATGTGAAGTGAAGGCAGACTGACGGGCTTGTAGTTGATCCAGCCGTCCCTCGACCTGCCAGCACGAGACTCCCGGAGGAGGTTCAGCACTGAGAAGCTGCATCTCCCGCTTCAGGCGACTGGTTCTCTGCATGACGCCTGTCGGAATCAACACGACACGGTTATTAAGCGGACAATACTTTAGCACTTGCCATATTCACAATACATACTAATATCAATGGCACATTCCCCTTACAAACAATCTATAAGTAATCTATGAAGACTGCGTGCGAACTCAGTTTAGTCAAGATGTTACATAACGTCTATATACTATAGCAAATTATTTATTGACCATCATATGAGATATTTACCTTGATATCTTGGCTTACTAGTGTTGTTACTGCCTCGTTTTGCTTAATGACTAATCAGTGAACGCTGAACACTAAACAAACAGCCCCTGGTTTTGATTCTGCCCGCTAAAAGTTAATACGTCATTGTGCGACCGGACGCGTGGTTTTACTTCAAGGTGCATTGTGGGTATTGTAGTTTCCTGCGTGTTCACACTCGTCATAGTTTGATGATTGTCTTTTTTGCTCCAGCTGAAGCAATCCTCACTTAAAATGTACAGTCACGCAGTCTTAAAATGCCTGTATGGATGTGAGAGGTGAAATGTTTTGTGCCTTTTATTGAAATGTTTTGTAAAATGAGCTCACCTCATTCACCTAAATATACCCTGGTGCATAATGTCAAATGGAGATATTTAGGCCTACTCCTTTTGGATTTATATTTTATATGAAACACAATCCTGGGAAAGTGTGGTAGAGCAGATAGCATATCATTTCATCACAGGAGAACTTTGCAAAAAATAGCTTGAAATGCAATGCAAATAAAAGTGTGTTTGCTTCCATGACCTCAGGATGCCATTTGTTTCAGTGAGAACTTTCAAACCGCTTTGATGACACTGTCTAGTCTGAGAGTTGTTTAACTATAATTCACAGTTTCAGGTTAAGACTGATCTCACAGTTTTGATTTTTTCCTGAGTTCTGAGTTTGCTTCTCATATGTGCAGGTGCTGCTGTATTCTTCAGTCCTTCGGATGATTGTAGGCTCGAGGTGGTTAACGCGCATGGCTACGTCACACATGTTTCCCCATGCACATGTCACAGCATGGAAATATTAAAAGTTACATTTGGATAAATGCTTTTTATTTAAAAAATTGTATATTAACTGCATGACAACCATCTGTCATCTCCCAGAGGGAGTGGAGTATTTTTTCATAGTTTGAGTAGTTTTTGTGTTACCCACCTCCTAACAACCCAGCATTTGAGTTAGGCTACTTATTGTGGGCTTTTTTTTGCATCCTCTTAAGTTATACATATTCAACTAATTTTTTTTAAAAGTCATGTTAATGTAATTTACGTTGAAATGACTTAAACATCCAAATTGATTTGAGGCAACAACTTTTTTTAGTGTTCAGAAGAGAGCAGTTCAACTTCTCGGGGCCATCGAAATGGTGCATTTCTTCTGTAAAATTTGTGTATTTTATTTTATCTATAAAATTATTACTGTGCTGTAAACCATTTAATTTTATGCAAAGCAACATATGCCTATATGTCAGTCACCAATCTGTAACCAACTTCATTTTTATGTATTTTTTTTAATACTAATTAAGTAATTATGAAAGGGTTGCCCTTTTTCTCACTACATGCCCCCCACACCTGTCGGAGCAATGTCTGGCCCATTTCACCTAACATCACCTGACTGTATGCATGCAGAATGCACGTTGATTTTCTGATCATATTTTTTTTCCAGGCACATTTGACCAATTCCAAACCACATTAATCTTAATAACTACTATTAATTTGTGTATTTAATCATTTATAAGTGATATATAATTGTTCATGAAGGCTGGAAATGAAAATGCCTTATATCCAGGTGTGCATAATTGCGCACATTTGCTTTTACAGATAAAATAAGCCAAAGAAGAGATTTAACTCAGACTGAAAAGTCAAAAATTATTAAATGCACATGAGAAGGATGCAATACTGCAATAGCCTACTAGAAATTGCAGTTAAGGCATGACCATTGGACAGTGAAATGCTCATTGGGACATGTTAACCAGCAAAAAAAATAAGAATTAAGGTGTAGAATTAAGTATGAAACCATCAGGAACCCTTTAAGTCTTCAGCGCCACCCTTTTCCAGAACTCACTTGGAATTGGTCAAATGTGCCTGATCAGAAAATCAACGTGCCTAATAATTCTGCACGTAGTGATCAATTATTTTCACCATTAATTATTTTACTGAAACCTTATTCGTAGTCTGTAACCTTATTCAAATTAAGGAATGTTTCCCTCACGACGTTCCTAGGGGCGCTAAATGATGCGTAAAAGACGTAGCCTATACCTCAAACCGAAAATTGCTGACAGAAATGGATAAAATGATAAACAAAACTTAAAGTAGAAAAGTTAAAAATGAACACGTAGAGACTTGTTTTGGTTCTCATATCATCTATTTTGTCTGCAATGTTCTTTTAAAGTTTCGCTCTTTTAAAGTTTAACCACTGTGGTCTGTGGATATTTCCCACACATTTCACCTTAATAATCTTTCTGGACTTTCAGGAAACACCAGATGGGCTAATGGAGTCATACACAAACACAGGGCCGATCTTTTCCCTACAGTGTTTGTGTTTGTGATATTTAAGAGCACACACACACACACACACACACACACACACAGCCCCTGGCAGATCCGCTCTCGTTCGTCTCTTTCGTTTTCATTTCCCGGAAGGATTCCTCTCTTAATATTGCAGGCGATCCGCATAAGAAAAAGACAAACTCTGCTGTGCGAGAATACGACGTCACGCGACTCTAAACGCCTTATTTTGTGTATTGAACAGTTGTTGATATTTTAATCAATTATTGATATTGTCGCGAAAATTTAGAAGAGTGTGTCAAGTCTTGAAGGTTAAAGAACATGAGTGACGCCTCCTCTCCGCCACCTTTAATAAAGGTAAGAGACTCACTCACTCACTCACCAAATAAGTGCATTGTAGATAGCTACTGTTAAAAAATCTGAATAGGCTAATCAATGTTTTTATTACTGCCTAGAACTAAAGTAATTCAATCACATTACAACACTTTTCTCCTCACTTTTTGCAAAAGTTAAATTCAACTAGCTGTTTTGTTATTTTGCAAACCCTCTCAAAATCTCATAATATGAAGGTAAAATATCAGTGTAGATTTTTGATGCAAATCTACTTTATTAATTAACAAGGCGACGGTGTAAAACTGAAAATAAAATCTGTGCCTCAAATTTACTTTCACTTTTGCTGTGTGAATTGAGATCTCAGTTTGTTTTCATTCAGCAAAATTTGAGTCACTATATCTAGTTTCTGTCCTTTCTGGTTCATTCATATATTTTACATCACTGAAAACATGAAAGGGAATTAAAGGCTGATATAAAGACTTCCCTTTCATTTGCTATTGAAGTAAATGTTTCTTTCTGCTTTCCCTTCCAAACGTCAGCAGAGTTGTAATGGGAACAAGCCCTCAGTTTGTGCGCCCGTTCAGCCCAGCCCTCAAGACGGACCTCATCCCTCCATGAATGAAGCCATGCCTGACGAACTGTGCAAGCTCCCTGGAAGACTACGTATGTCCCCACATAAAAACTCATTAGATTAGATTAAATGCATACAGATCACAACGACTAAACATGTTTAAGGTGCATGCATTAAAGGAAAAATGTACTCATGAAACATGACTTCTTCCAGCAGAATATGCAAGCTGCACTTTTCCACACAGTAGCCAGTAGTCTTCAAAAGGTCAAAAAGAACAATCACAGTACCATAAAGCATTTGGCCTCATATATTTGTCTATATCTAAGGCCCAGTTTACACCTGGAATCAAGATGCGTTTTGGTCGATCAGGTCACAAGTGGACAACACTAAATACAGCTGTAAACGGGTCTTAAAAGCTTTGAGCTTGTCCACTTTGGACCGCTTCCAGAGGAAGTTGAAAACACATCGGATTGCTTTCGTAGTGAAAACGCTCATGTGGTCAAATATGTCCACACTGACCTAATGAAAAAGATGTAAAAATGAGCCAGACGGGATTCAAACTGTTGGCTGAAGACCTAAGTTTAGTTTGAAGATGAAAAATGTACCAATCACAATGTTCTCTCACCATTCCTGATTTCGTACACGCTTACAGCATTCAGCGTGATCTTGCTGCAGAAACTAAAGCTACGTTTTTTTTATTTTCTCCGGTCGTGTGTTCATATGTAAATTGCGAAAACCTATTTTGTCCATTAGATCAAAAGATCTGAAAAAGCCCATACTTTTATCCGCCCCTACACCCTGTTTTTGAAGAAATCAGGACAGAAGTGGATGAAAGTGGACAAAAGAGACGATTAAAACACCGGGTGTAAACGGGAATGTCTCCCTCGTCTACTTGTGATCCGATCAACCGAAACGCAGCTTACTACCAGGTGTAAACAGGGACTAAGTCTTATAGTCGAAAGTCATGCAAAAGTTTTGTGAGAGGAATAGACTGAAATTAGTCACTCAATTTACTCTCAAATCACATTCAAACTTGCACATATTCAACCCTCGTGGCTACAGATGCATCGTTTGAATATACTCACATTTGCTGCGACACACGGAATGGATTTTCAGCCAATTATGATATCAATTTGGGTCTGTTCCTCAAACACATGCAAGGCTTCATAAATAGTAACAGACTACTTTTTAAAGAGCTTAAATGGCCTTTTTTAGGAGATCCAGAGGCACTTCACTAGTGCTTTCATTATAGGACATCCTGCACCATATCACTTTATGTTTCTCACAGAAAAATAAAATCTGGAATGACACAAGGGTGAGTAAATGAGCCCTTTATTTTCTGGTTGTAATGCACAGGGATCAATCCTTCTCTGTGGGATAAAGAGGATGTGAATCTCTGGCTGCGCTGGGCTCAGAGGGAATACTCTTTGCGACGTGCGGACCACCAAAGATTTGAGATGAACGGAAAGGCACTTTGTCTTCTCACCAAAGAGGACTTCCGTCTCCGCTGTCCCAGCTCTGGTGCGTGATGCTAAAACTATTAGGTTATAGTTATCAGTTTTGTCCCGAACTTTTATAATAACTGCACTGTGGATGGCAACTGCTGTGAAACAGGTGATGTTCTGTACGAACTCCTTCAACATGTGAAGCAGCAAAGGAGATGCGCGATCTTCAATCCGCTGGCCAACTCCAACACACACACACAACAGATGCTCGACTCGCATGGGACCACAGGTGATCTATCTATCCATCTATCTGGTTATTTAGGTTTTAAGGTAAGGTTAAGTAACAAGCTGAAAGAACTCTTCCTTGTTCCGTCTGTTCTTCTATAATATTATAGTCAAATTGATAAATGTCCGACTTCCTACTTGAACAAGTGCCAAAGCATAAATGAAGTGGCTTGCCGAAGCTTGTAGTAAGCGCACCGTTGAAGGAACTGAGTCACTGTTTCTGCTTCGATATGCTTCTGAGTCCTTGTAAAGGGAAGCATACTTCATGTCATGCTCAGTTCTGTATTTTTTTGGCAAGGACTTTATAATTGATTCTGACTGGAAACACACTGATCTGCTTCATTTGTGAAACATGGGGTTAAATTACACCCATTCCTTTATGCAGGAGGGAATTTCCTGGTTGCAAAACTAGAGCTGTTGCCAAAAGGTGTGGCTAAATCAGACTTAACTCCATTCAAACAATAGCACACATTTATTTTACTTTCACATTTGCCTTTTTGTGTTAGACTTGACCCTGTAATGTTATAAACAAAATGTTAATTTGCTTCGCAAATACAGCTGTAAATAGCACTTGATAAATGGTCTTGCAGGTCCTTGTGTTCCCTCTAACAGAAGTGTTCCTGTTTGTCCTGTGAATCCAAATTCTCGGGTGTTAACAGCCGGATGCAGCACGGATCACAGCCAGGAGGGAAAACCCTTGTCTTCTTACCCTGAGCATCCACAAGTCATGAAAGCAGGTCAGTGTTTCAGCCATCTTTGTTACTCCCTTTATACAAGTCCTGAGACTAGATCTCAAGGTTTTAGGCAGATGTCTTATATCATGATATGAATCATTTTATTTCACAATAACTATTTATAATTAATATAATAAAATAGTTAATTTTATCAAACATTTTAATACCATTGCAATTTCATAATTCTTGTCACCATTTTCAGTATCAAAAAAATCTAAAACTAGCCTAAGTAAAAAATAAATAAAAAAACCTCCCAAGCCTACTGAAGACAAGTAAACAGTGGTAAAGGACAAATAAACTGAATGCAAATATATTGAAGAAGAAAAAAACTACAGTAGAACAAAGACACTGATGAAATAGACCTGAAAAACTTCAAGCACTAGAACTTAGTAATACTAAAAAATTGTATAAAGTAATCAAATGTGTATAAAAAAACTTCTATTAAAGTTTCAAAAATGATTCAGTCAAGAGCAGTGAGAGATTTTCTCTTTTTTATTTTGTGATTAACGATAATAGATTGCTGTCACTTTAAGACCAAATGCATGGATCCAATATACTTGTGTATTTTCATTCTCAACTGTTTACATTCACTTAAGACATAAATGGCTGTGTTTACTTGCAAAGATGGTCATTTTGACACATAAGCGTGTGTATTTAACTGTTCAAGCCGAATTAGTCTCTCTTCGCTTAGTTCTTTTTCGCTTCTTATTGTGTTTCAACGGTTTAAAATCACTTGTTTTTAAACATCAATGATTAAATACGCATTCAAATTATAAGCTTTTGTGAAAGTCCAGTCACATGTAAACTTCTACCGGTTAATCGTGTCTACGGGTGTATCGCCCACCCCAGGACAGTGGTATTTTTTGTTTGTTTGTCCAAAGCTTGTCCATCTTGTGGCCTCCAAGTGTGTCCCGGCCCTCTGGTTGAGATTCACTAATGTAGGATATGGATGAGTTTGCTTTTTTTACTACATATTTCACTTTTGACCTTTAAGCTTTCATACCTCACTGTTTACCCATATTCAGCAGAGCTTTCTCAACATTCTCCCAAGGTAGGACTGCAACAGAAATCTCCAGACAAAACCAGACAGCCTGTCAATGTTTTCTGTACAGATGAGCCTCTCAACCTGTCCAGTAAACCTGCAAACACCACACACACCACTGAGGCCAATGGAAAGATTCCAGGTGCTCATGCATGTTGTTGGAGACATTAACTATGGCTGATATCATTTAATAATAATTTCCAATCCCTGGAAATGAAGAAAAAAAAAGAATACAAATTACAGTGTGTCAAAAAGCACAAAGTAACATGCCTTTGACCATTCCATCCTTTCATTAGACTGCAAACTGTTATGGGACTATGTGTACCACCTGCTGTCGGACAGTCGGTATAAGGCCTTCATACGCTGGGAGGAATCGGACTCCATGGTCTTCAGAGTGGTGGATCCCAATGGACTGGCACGACTCTGGGGCAACCACAAGGTACTTTAACAGGAGAGTCTTCTGTTTTTAAGCGTTATTGACAATAATCGGCTCTGTTTGTTTGTTATTGCAGAACAGGGCCAATATGACCTATGAGAAAATGTCTAGAGCATTGCGCCATTACTACAAGCTCAACATTATCAAGAAAGAGACGGGGCAGAGGCTGCTCTTCCGGTAAGTCATTTGAAGCACATTAGTATTTGTTTGTACTTGCTCATAAATCAAATGTCGGAGTTGACTTATATTCAGTGTTGGGGAGAACAGACTGATCTCATGAAATAGCCTATGTATGACACGCCAATTCGTATTTCCATTTTTGGCGTGCTATCAACACGCATAATCGCTTTTCAGCGTGTTTATCAACGCCGTTGACTTAACGTTACATTACTGTATATATAAATATATGACCTACCCCAACCCCGTCCCTAAACCTACCCGTCACTGGGGTTAATACCATTTATGAGTCTTCCCCTACCATCCTAGGTAAAAAAATATCGCTCGCCAGATGTAGATATAGAATTTGCTTCGTTTCACTCGGACATTTAACGGCGTAGACATACACGCGCGTGGACATACACGCGGATAGCTCAAAATGCGTATAGATAACACGCCACTTGACTTAAAAGTGGCGTGTATGTTTACGCAAAGTCATGATGTCATGTTGGGGAAAGTTACTTTGAAAAATAATGCGTTACAATATTGCGTTACTCCCTTAAAAAGTAACTTATTGCGTTACTTAGTTACTTTTTTTAGAAAAGTAATGTGTTACGTTACTTTTGCGTTACTTTTTTTCCACCTGGGCTGGGATTGTTTTTTTATACCAAAAAAAGATATATTTTTGGGCAAATGTAAAGACCCTTTCACACCAAAAGGGAAATAATAAGCCTCAGACTGAAGGAAATGCAGATTTACTCCTGTACAGTAGAGTACAGTAGTGTTCAGTAGAGGGCGCCGCTCAAACAAACCTTTCAGCTGCTGCTGTTCTGGGTAACAGAAGAAGAGGATGCAGGAGAAACTAATTTAACACTTACTTTACCAATAACAACATATAAAAAAATCTATAGTCATTTTTGCTTATGGTTTAACTGAAAAATCGGAGGTCAGAAGCAAGTACTTTGGTCAATAAAGATTAAATGCATAAAAAAATGTTTTGTTTTATTTAACATATTTAGGTATTGGAGGTTTGCATAGTGTTTTGATTCTGCATTTCACTGATTTTATTCATTTTGAGGAATATTGAATCTTTTTTGTGCAAGTGAGATGAGTAAATCCACGCTTACATTTAATCTAGAACTATAATAACCATCATGTTTACCATAGCTGCCAACTCTCACGCATTGGCCGTGAGACACCCGCATTTGATTGGTTTCACACGCTCACACGCCACACTCCCGATTTCTCACGCTGAAGTGTCAACCCGGGCGGTCAAATGCCTGGAAGATGAGTTTATCTATATATCTACCTGTTGAGCCACTCGTGATCGACTAGTTATACCGCAAATTCGTTAAAAATCTCCCGTTATCTAGAGCGAGCGTGCATGCGAGACAGAGATTGTGCTCCAAACCGCGTAGAGCGAGCGAGAGACCTTGCGCGAGCGAGACCCCCCCCCCCCCCGTCAACAAATCTCACTCGTCTCTACCACCCCCCCCCCCCCCTCACCAAATCTCACTCGTCTCTACCCCCCCCAACCCCCCCCCCCCCGTCAACAAATCTCACGCCGAGCAAAACTCAAAAGTTGGCAGGTATGGTTTACACACAACGCCTCTGCACTTCGATTTGTGTCAACATTAGGACAGACGAGCTGTCAGTCAGTAAAGGGGAAAACAAAGTAACTTGCGTTACTTATTAGAAAAAGTAACTCAGATATTTTGTTGTAAATTTTAAAAGTAATGCGTTACTTTACTAGTTACTTGAAAAAGTAATCTGATTACGTAACTCAAGTTACTTGTAATGAGTGACCCCCAACACTGCTTATATTAGTTGTTTGTTGATGCTGATATAATTCCTATATAATTCCATTTAATGATGGCAAATGAGTCATACCCTTTGTAACAAAGAAGTGTAATTGTATTGAATGCGCATTTGTAATGTCCTTCAAGTTCATTTTTAAGGTCACCATGAATTCAAAATGGACAATTCTTATTTTTGTATGGAATATTGCAGTGTTTATTATAAATGATTTATCTGTGTACATCATTTAAAAAAAAAAAAAAAAATGAATGTGCCCTCATAATCTTTTATCTTTTATCTCCCGATAAAGCAGAAGTGTACCTTTTTGGTTTGGTTGGTCAAAAACACTCTAAAGTTCAGCTAATTGAATTTAATACATTTCAGTTCAGACTCTACATTCTTTTAAAGTCCCCCCGTAGTCAATTATTTTATCCCTTAAAACATCACTAAAATTACACATGTAAAGGTTTAGAGTGTTCTAGAGGGACTGTCTTTGGTTCACTGCAGTTTTAAGGAGAAATACTTAGCAAGCAATGGTGTCGACTTATGAAGTTGCACATGATTTGTCTTAAAGCATATTAAAAACACCACATAGACATACAAACAACATTAAAAACTTCATTTACACCACAGGGTGTTTTAAAGTGTATTATTTTCGTATTAATTGTATTATTAGATAATAGTACCCATTCGTCCATATCTGTCATTTAATCACTTTATTATAAAATGTGGAAAATTAAGAATGAGTAAATGTCCCACACTTTGTATATAAAAAAATAAAAAAATAAAGTAAGACATATTTTAGACAACATAGAAATTCACTAATATATATATATATATATATATATATATATATATATATATATATATATATATATATATATATATATATATATTTTTTTTTTTACAGATACAGTTGATACAGTAGATTTTTAAACTCACACAAGAGGGAGCTAAAACTGTTAATATTGTTAAACCGGGCCTGATGATCTCAAAAAGGAAAAAGCTGTCCTGGTCTCACTTCCTGACTTTAGTTAGACGTATTCCTGGGTCAACATATTTTGTTGATCCTGGAACAACATTCCTGTCTGAAAATGTAGTCCTAACCCTATCCCTACCCCTAACCCTAACCTTACCCATAAGTTATCCCTAAAATCAGGGTGAAATGATGGTGAATAACACTGATGTAGACGCACTGAAACCTGGCTGTGAGCCTAAACTTGACATAAACTGGTCCCTCAAATCTGATTGGTTGATTGGAATGTTGTTCCAGGATCAACAAAGATGTTGAGCCAGGAACATGTTACACATGGTGAAATTACGTTCTGCGTCCCATATGTTGATCAGGCACTACCTAAATGTCTTTAAAACGTCTTCCGCAGGTTTCTGAAGACGCCCGAGGAAATAATGCAAGGCAGGTCGGAGCGTGCAGAACCGTCAGAGTCTCCCGATAGTCCCCCGTCCCCGGACTACAGAGAAGACGCTCTGGAAGTATCACCTGTCTCGACCCCTACCACCCCGAGTCCCAGCTCTGACCACAACTTCAGCATATCGCCAATCCCATGACACTCACTTCTACATTAATAAACCTGGCCTTTTAGAATGGGAGACCCCAGAGCTGGACGTCCCATACAGACTGCCATCTACATCCCCAGAGATTGCTGATATCCTGTAGAGGAACCATTGGAATATTTTCGGAGATGCTAAGTTTAGGTTTACTTCACACAGTTTTGACTCAGGGTAGTTTGTTTGCCGTGAGGATGTGTTGAAAACTACACGACATTCATCAACGCAACAATTAGGATTGATTCTCATAGTCTCGTTGTCAAGTTGATATGAAACGTTATCAGGTTGTAAAACTGTGCAATGTTATTTTTTTACAGATTTGTGAACTGTACTGCATTAATTAATCAAATAGCATTAATAATATGGGTGACACTTTATTTTACAGTCCTATTCCGCATGAATATACTATGTACTTATAGTAATTTCAGTAACTGGGTAATAAATAAGTACTAGTCCTGAACCTACACCTAACCTTAACCCATGTAGTTACCTTATATTCCCCAGTACTTTCTTAGGCAAGTACACTGTAAGTACACGTACTGTAAAATAAAGTGCAACCATAATATGTACACTGGAATCTATGTTTTCATTAATTGCCTATTGACTCTATAAAGGTAAATGACAAATTAGATGCTCATGAACTTTTTTTTATATATATTTTAGGTTAAAATGAAAATGAATGCAGAAGGGACAGTTTGTATTTTGTGAAATTTTATTTTATTTTTAAGGCTTTTTACAGTGAAAAGTAAATAAGTAAATAGTTTGTATGCTTTTTTTTTTTTAAATATATGTCATTTGGTTTTATAAAATCTAGTATAATAATGGTAACACTTTAGTTTAGGGTCCAATTCTCACTATGAACTAGTTGCTTATTAGCATGCATATTACTAGGATATTGGCTGTTTATTAGTACTTATAAAGCACATATTAATGCCTTATTCTGTATGATCATATTCTACATCCCGTAATCACCCAATACCTAAACTACATTACTAACTATTAATAAGCAGTAATTAGGAGTTTATCGAGGAAAAAGTCGTAGTTAATAGTGAAAATTAGACCCTGAACTCACCATTATTATAACATAAATAGAAAAATGTTGATGAATGGTCAATGAAATTAAATACCACCTAAAGTTGTGTTCTAAACCAGGGGTCCACAAGATGATTTAAAATAAGACGAAACTTTTTTTTTTTAAATCGATATATTTCTTATTTTAATTTCTTTGAAGAACTAAGATTCCCAATGTCTGGGAAACCCCTTTATAACCTAATTTTTAAAGTGTGATTTCTAGACCTGGAAAAGTCATGTAAATTAATAACATCTTAAAAATAAATATAGATTTTTCTATAAAAATCATTATCCTTAATTTTTATCTCAGAAATCATGAACAATTGGAAAAGTCATTGGGCCTTTGAATACTGTTCAAACATGAGGGGCTTTTGAGTCAAAACGGTTGATCTAAAAAGCACTGAGTTCAGCTGAGGGAAGTGACATCACATTATTGCTCACGGCAAATCAACTGACTGTGTGAACGGTAGGTGCATTTAAAATAATGGTCTCTACATAAGTTTTGGACGAGGAATAAGATACCTTTTTGTTTCAACTTTATTGATTCGGTTCTTGGATCCGTACTCCCTCTTCATAGATGTGCTTGTAATGTACGCCATGGTTTAGCTCTTCTCTACGGTAATGTCTACGCTCATTTTAAGACATAACTAAATGTCAAGGAATTCGTATTGCTCCAAAGATGACAATAATGTACATTTACTTCTGATGCCCCCTGAAGGTTGTGTGCAGACACATATAAAAGGCCTAATTCAGACATCATGATGTGAGGAACTGATTTGAGATCATTCCTGGTTTTCTAGAGTGGAAGGAGGGACATTTGCGGGCTTTCTTACATTTTTTGTTGTTAACAACACCGTGACTGTCAGTTTTTATGTTGTTGCTCTGATGGTCCTCCTCTTAAGTTGGAGTCAGAGCACTGAAGAGCTGATACCATCCGACCACAAGGAGATATTTCCAGCCATGTCATCGCCGTTATGCATTCTGTCTAAAAATGAGAACCTCTCCGTGTCTTTCTGTGGTTCTGGCTTTCTAGCAACTTACCAACTCGGTGCTGCCCAGAGTCTTTTGGATAACGCGGCCTGGATCCTGCAAGGAGCACCAAGAGTCTATGGCGCGTCTGCTGGCTCTCTCGTGGCTGCAGCGGTCGTCTGTGGGTCCAATCTAGGTAATCTTTCTATTCATATTCCCCTTCATTTATTGACTACGGGACTAGTGTTGTACTTATAAAGGTTGTAGGTTCAAACTCCAGGTTGGTCCAGGGATTAGTGTGCTGTAAGTCACTCGGATAAAAGAATCAGGATATAAAATGAACTGTTGGTAGTCATTAAATCCACCTTTTCTTCTCACAGGACGTGTGCGAGACCAGCTTTTGGAATTTGCGAGATTTACCAAACAACAGCCGCTCGGGGTTCTCAGTCCCACGGTGGATATTTTCAGGTGGCTGGAGGTCACACTGCATCGCTGTCTGCCTGATAATGCCCACACTCTGGCCACGGGACGTCTGCACGTTTCCATGACTCGCATGTCTGATGGGAAAAATGTTTTAGTGACGGAATTTCATTCCAAGGATGAGCTTGTAAAAGTAAGCATCATGTTTGGCATATCATTTAAAAATGTATATACATATATTCAGTTAACAGTAGTGTGTCATGTTACAGCTCAGTTACAGCTGTTGCAGCCCAATCTCATGGGAAAGTTGAAGTATTTCATAAGTCGGCGATTTCGTATTAATTTGTACTATTTGATTTGTTGAAATTTGTAGGAAAAAAGTCCATACAAATTTCCCACCAATTCGCCTCGCTCCGATATTCCTACACCGGAACTAGACTCGCGTACGGCCGTTACAGAAGCCAGCGATTATAGTTTATTAAGTTATAAATATGGATATTTTCTTACAAAAGTGCACGGCTTGGCTTCAGAAGGCCTTTATTAACCCTCTGAAGTAGTTTGGATTACTTTTATGATGGAGGGATGCACTTTTGTGGGCTTCAAAATCTCAGGCGCTCACTCCCATTATAAAGCTTGGAAAAGCCAGGTTGTTTTTTAACATAACTCTGATTGCGTTTGGCTAAAAGAAGAAAGTCATATACACCTAGGATTGAGGGTGAGCAAATTATGAGATAATTTGTATTTTTTTGTGTGAACTAACCCTTTAAGTGGTCTCTTTCCGTCCTCTACAAGGCTCTTTTGTGCAGTTGTTTTGTCCCTGTGTACTCTGGCGTGATCCCACCACAGTATAAAGGCGAGGTGAGTTAAAGTGTTTGTACTGTATGTCCTCTGTAACAACATGCCTAGGAACTACAGAAATACTCTAAACCAACATGCAGCTTAAAACAAGCTATATAAAACCTCTATACTTTCCCAGCACTATATGGATGGAGGTTTCACAAACATCCAGCCCTTCGAGGATTCCTCTCCCACCCTCACCATCTCCTCGTTTGCTGGAAACATGGACATCTGTCCCTCTGATACCTCCACCATCCTCTGTGACGCCATCATCCAGAAGCTCTACTTCCAGTGCTCCATTACCAACATCATCAGACTGGTAGATGCCATGTTCCCTCGGGACTGGAGGGTGAGTTCTGTAAATGTCCCAACACAAGTACTTTTAGGCTATTTGCTCTAATGCTGCCTTCACGTGCTATCGGAAATGTCCTACTTCCCACTTCTGAGGTTATGATTACGAGCTCGTCACATTCAAGTGCTTTATTGTCGGAAACAGAACCGGAATCATGGAGGACACCAGGTTTATTCTTGCCTATTTATTGGGAAAATCTTATCAACGCCAAAATTGTATTTAGTGTCCCATTAATAGTTTTTTTTTTTTTTTTTTGGAGTAAACAACCCTGATCACTGTCCACTTGGATGGAATCGAGCAACTTGAACATTCTGTAACTTTTATGGTCTTTATTAAATAAATAAATGGTAATATGGGTTTCAAATGACACAATGGTGAATAAGTGATGACATCATTTTTATCAACACTTCCTTTAACTTAATTCATTGTCAATTGACAGATTTTGAAGAAGGCTTTCTACAGTGGATACCAAGATACCGTGTACTTTCTGCAGCAGAGCAGTGAGTTTTACTGCAATTTTTTTTATAATTATTTCGGATGTTCCTGTTCAAGTATTCATAAGTATATATGTAAAGTGAACACTTACTTTTTACATTTGGTAAGACAGCGATACATCCAATGTCAATGTATGCACAGCTTTTAAAACAGAAACCCTTTCACATATACAATTTTAGCGATACTTGTAAATCTTTTGGAAAAGACTAATCGGAAATATTGGAACCTTTGTGATTTGAATACTTGGACGACAATCTTAAAAAGATTAACCAACTCTGAATCAAGTCAACTCTCTTTCATGACTGTCTCACACACCTCGACAGACGCTTTGCCGTTATACCCTGAACGGAGAAAGGAGTCAGATGCATCTGATGATTCCCTGAGCTCAGATCACTGGATGCTAACACAGACTGATGGTGTTGAGGAAGAGGAATCTCAGCAGAACTCCCTGGAACAACCTGAAGAGAAGATCATCAATGGGGTTTGTTCATCCGTCAGTCCATCCCGTCTAGAGCGGACAGAACAGAAGAACTCGCCAGTGAAGGTTCAGGAAGGTACTGTAGTGTCCCGTTTACATTTCTGATTATGAAGGATTCGATACATAAGTGAAACATTCTCCCAATCCATGTTTTAGTGCTGCTGTGTAATATTGAGGGACAGCTGGAGATTCTGAGTAATCCGGATGTCTCTTTATCTCAACGGACGCTCTCATTCCTGCTCTTGCTGTTTACACTGCCAATCTGGAGTGCCACAACCTTATGGGAAAGGTAAAGAGGAAGGGGAAGTTATTTTGATTAAAGATTATGAGGACTATTAATATAAAAATGATGTCCAAGGATGAACCATTTATTATAAATACTGCAGGCACACAACATAAATAAACTACAACAGGTAAACATTTCAGCTGTGTGGACGCTAGAGCTGGGTTGACAATATTGATTTCTCGTTTTTTAATCGGTCCTCTATTTGATGAACCGAGATATTTTGAGTCTATGCTGCTTTCTGTTGATGCTATAGAGCCCCTTAAGGGACATTGTGATGGAAAAAATATGAGATTGGAGGAAAACTTTTGCAAAAACGCAACATTTTTGAGGGGAACGTAAAACAATTTGTGAGCGAACGCAACATTTTTGAGGAGAACGTAAACATTTTGCGACGAGCGAACCACATTTCTCAGGGGAACACAAAACATTTTGCGAGCAAACAAATTATTTTTGGGGTGAAGGTTAAAACATTTTGCGAGCAAACGCATTATTTTTGGGGTGAAGGTAAAACATTTTGCTCCAGTGGAACGCAAAACATTTTCCAAGTGAATGCAACATGTCTCGGTGGAACGTTAAAGGGATACTCCACTTTTTTTGGAAATAGGCTCATTTTACAACTCCCCCAGAGTTAAACTGTTGAGTTTTACCGTTTTTGAATCCATTCAGCCGATCTCCGGTTCTGGCGGAACCACTTTTAGCATAGCTTAGCATACATCATTGAAGTGGACAAGACCATTAGCATTTCTAAAAAAAAAAATGACCAAAGAGTTTCGATATTTTTCCTATTTAAAACTTGACTCTTCTGTAGTTACATCGTGCACTAAGACCGACGGAAAATGTAAAGTTGGATTTTCTAGGCTGATATGGCTAGGAACTATACTCTCATTCCTGCGTAATAATCAAGAAACTTTACTGCCGTACCATGAGAGCAGCAGGCGTAATGATATGACGCAGCGCCTGAAAAGGGGGGGGGGGGGGGGGGGGGGGGGGACACAAATATTTCGCGAGTGAATGCAACAATTTTTTTACCTATCTAATTTGTTTCCCTTAATGTGCCATTAGGGGCTCTGTAGATGTGTGACAATGTCTCAGCTTTTGAATTCTGCCAAACAATAAATACCGCTTAGGCACTCTTTATTGTGGCGTGACAGATCGCAGCTTCAGTTCAAGCAGCAGTCTCTCTTCCTCTTTGTTACTAGTTACATCACAAAATATACATGAAAGAGCATCAGAAGGTATGTTGAAAAAAACAGTATAACTTACCGAAATGCATCATCAAGATAAAACCGCTTCAAAACAGTCATGCGATGCTGCATGTACCTCAAGAGAACCGTTCAATGTCCAGCTCCTAGTAGCTTAAGAGAAAACCCTTTAGGATTTTGCTAAATAGATGCACTAAATTGCATATTTGTTTAATTTTTACTAACCATGTTGTCTTCATTATTTAATGTATGTTTGACTGAATCTGTCATGAAAATTTTTACAGCCACCGTCCGAATGTTTACATGTTTTACAACTGTTTTCTAACAGTGTTGATTATTAAATAGATTAATTTTCAGTGAATAAAATTAATTTCAGTGCATCAGTTATTTTCATTAAGTGCATAAAAGCAACATAATTTATTTAAAAATTCCACCTAAAGGTTTCTGAATTTAAAAGGCATTATTTGGAGCCTGCTCATAAGCACTCATGTTGTTTCACAGGTCTCAGAAATGGACCACTAAAGCTACGACTGTGGCATACTGGCTCTGGCATGGCGTCAAGCTATTTATGACCTTTGTACTCAAAATTGTGTTGTCCACTTCGTGGAAAGTCCTTGGAGACATGTAAGTACAAAACAACAACAACAAAAAAACATTGTCTGCTGTTACAGTTATTGTTAATACTACCACTGAGGAAGTATCTTCTGTCTTTCGCAAAGGATGCTGAGTCTGATGAGTTTCATGCCTGCACAAGTTCACGATGACCACCGCAGGCCCAGAGAGTTTGCTGAGAGACACATGGCCTCCTCTAACCTGAATGGCCATGTCTCATCTCTTTTCCCAGCGAGTCCCTCTGTGGCACAGACCCTGCCAAACATCTACACGCTCCTGTTTTCACTAGAAACAGAGAGCAAGTGGAGAAGACGCAAGATAGAGGTGCAACACACGTTACAAAAACATGTGGCTGATGTGAAAAGAAATGAAAATAATGCTAGCAATGCAGGATGGTTAACGTTACTTCACACAGAGTGAAGTGGATATATCGTTCTGTGCGGTTTCTTTTTTTTTCCAGCTAAATACTGAATACATATATACTAACATGGGACTAGCCTCTAGATTTTTTTTGTGTATTTTTCCTTTAAAAAAATCGAATAAAAATGTATGGTAACACTTTACAATAAGGTTCCATTTGTTAAATTTTAGTTATTGGTAACACTTTATTTTACAGTGTCCTTGTTACATGTAGTTAATATAGCAATTACTATAAATTGTGCATAATTACATGCGACTGACCCCAAACCACTTGATTTAGTATTATAAAATATGAAAATGAAGACCCATGTCTTGGGAAACAATCGTTTTTATATAGTTGTGTATTCATCTAGCAATCATTATATGATTTGTGTTGAAGAATAGTTCGACCAATTATAAAATCCAATGTTAGTTTCACTTCCTGAGATACTGATTGATTTTTGAAGGCAGAAGAAGTATCATTCGCTGCCTTTGATATCCCACAATCCTGTGCTTTCCATTCTGTGACAGTTGAGCCAAAAAATAAATAAAGATGGCTTCTGAAAGTTGCGTGTATAAATGTGTTTTTGAACAACGTTTTCCACTTCTGATCCCATTTCTAGTGAGAAATTACTTTTGTGGTAATTCAATATTCTCTCTCTTTTGCCGTAGATCATTAAACCGTCTGAAATCAGTTTCATGAGGCACCTTCGTGCATAAACTCTGCCCGCAAAGTTAAGGTGAGGCAACAAGTCAGCTGCCTAAGTTTTCGTACGCAGCCGTGGTTAGATCACAGGACCCCGATTGCGTCAAATCCCAAACTCCATGAATCATTCGAGATTGATTAGCAATGGTGCTCAATGCAGAATGTGTTTCTACAGGACGCACTGGAAGTGTATTAGCCACCCTTGACATTTCAGACACCACTGCCCTGCTGCCATTCACATCCAGAAACAAATACTGCCATTATTTCATGGCAACCATTTACCAGTTCAGCACAATGGCACAAAAGAGATCATATCGAAGCTTGGTCTCGATCATGCAGTCGTAAGAAACAGCGTAGATATCAGTTCTGAACAGATGTTACACGCAGCATGAGGCCCCCGATAAACTATTTTAATTTTTTCGTGGTTTAACCTAAAATGTCACAGTGCAGAATATTTCTAATACATACTACCGTTCAAAAGTTTGAGCTTGGTAAGATTATATAGTATTTTTTTAAAGAAAGCTGCATTTATTTGAATGTTACTACGATTTTATGATATTACAATAAATATTCCTGTCACAGTAAAGCTGCATTTTCAGCATCATTACTCCAGTCTTCAGTGTCACATGATCATTCAGATGGTTTGGCACCCAAGAAACATTTCACAGCTTCAACATTAGGTTCAGTCCTTGTTGTTTATACAATGGTAACAAAACTGTTCATTGTTTAAAGCTTACAGTATAGGCATACTACTATTTGGCTTGTCCACAAAAGCTACACACATATATCACAGTTGTTGTTGTTTTTTCCCCCCAGAGTTTACCCTATTGTACCATCTGTCATTTTTGACTTCACAGTAATAAGCTGTCAGTCTGGATCACAGGTATTCTGTCCTTCCAAATCTTCAGGCACCTATCAGGAAATGAAAAACATGAGAATAAAGCAACTGAAACCATATACTGTACAAGAAACAGGAAACAAAATGAGGAAATAACGAGAACTTAATAACTAACTTTGATGTATGAGTTATGAACATCCTGAAATTTCAGAACTCAAAACTTCCTCCCCAGTGGGAAAAAAAAAAGATTTATTTCTATAGCTTTTGTCACGGCTGTAAATGCATCAACACAAATGCATGACCACATTTACACATCAATTCATCCATGTGGTGAACAGAAACTCGGCTCAGTCACAGTGCTGTTGTTTACCAACATCAGAAGAATTAAAGGGGTTAGTTCACCCAGAAAATTATCCCATAATTTACTCACCATCCTATGTGTATATGACTTACTTTCTTTTTTTAGCCAAACACAATCAGAGTTATATTAAAAAATATCCTGGCTCTTCCAAGCTTTATAATAGGAGTGAATTGAAATTTTGAAGGCAAAAAGAGCGCATTCATCCATCATAAATGTAATCCATACGGGTCCAGTGGGTTAATAAAGGCCTTCTGAAGCGAAGCGATGCGTTTTTGTTAGAAAAATATCCATACTTATAACTTTATAAACTATAATCACTGGCTTCTGGTAACGGATTTACACGAGTCTAGTTCCGGTGGAAGAGTGACATCTGACCCGACGCATGACGTATTGACAAACACGGAAACGCAGAGGATAGAGCAAAACACAACACCGGTCAAGAATTCGCCTTTGGCTAAGCCCCGCCCCCCCTTAGTTACTGTTGCTACGTCCGACAAACAAACTTCATCTGGGCTCTGGTATCAACATGGCTTATGCTGTGACAGCTCTTCCTGCTGAAATTGTATCAAACTTTTATAAAGCAGCAAATAAAGTGTCCGATAGAAGTAGGCAAAAGGGGCTGCAATTAGGGATGGGCGATATATTATCGTTTGCGATATATCGTTAAAATTTTTCCTCACGATAAGAATTAGTCTTCCCGCGATAATAACGATAAAGCCTATGACGGGACGCATTCGCAGCTCACGCGCATGGCGGAAGGCGGACGTGAAGCTGAGGTGAAGTTTATCGCTAAACGAGTAACTACCTCTACAATCTGGAACTGGTACACACAGATTTTCATCCGCCCATCTCGCCGAACACTGACTGAGCACTTGAGAGTGTCGCTCTCCGTCAAGTGATCCGTAAAGCCCACTATATCAGTTCATCTCAATGAATACACAGTGTATTTGACGCGCAGTAAACACTGAGGCGCATGACGTGCTGTCACTGCTGAGAGCGCTCCGTGTTTCTCATGCACTCGATGAGAGAGAGAGAGTCTTACATACCACGCAGAATTGAAGTGTACATGATGTCTACATGTAAATTATATTATTTGTTGTATTTTCCTGTAAAAATAATGGAGTTCATTTGGAATTATTCAGCTTTGAGCAAGCAGTTCTAATGCGCAAACGCAGACATGATATTCATGAACCCAGCAGCTCATCAATCCTTAGTGTGGTTTATATTGTTATTAGTATCAGAATTCGTAGTAGTATTAGTATAACTATTCGTTGTTAGATTTTTTATATTTCAAACTTGTAAATGATTTGAATTATTACTGTGTGATGTTTTTCAGTATAGTTGCACTATTTAAACATTATCTGCACTTTTACAGAAGAAACGTATGCAACTTTTCCATTTCTGCAAGGGATGGTGTTTACTGTTTTACTGTTTTTTTATTATTATTTTATGTACGGTAATTGGTATTTTATAGGAGCCTATTTGGTGAAGGGTACATTTTACTTTGCATGCAGCTATCACTTGTAGCCAAAAACAGTGGTGAATATGGTTATATCGTCATTGATATCGTTATCGCAATAAATGCCAGAAAATATCGTGATATATTTTTAAGTCCATATCGCCCATCCCTAGCTGCAATATACGTTCGAAGGCTATATTCACGACATACAGGTGAAACGCAAGGAACAACAAGGCATCCAAATAGAGGCAAAAGCAAACCGGTCACAGTCAAAAAATGAACCACCGCATATCCTCCTAATTGAGACGGAGGCTGGGACTAACAATATCAAGGAGCAACACTGTTCATGCAAAGCTGGGTAGGTCTCTATTCACTTCTATAATCGTTATTACAAAGCAAACGGACTACGCGAGTATAACGGTGTATTTATTACCAGCGTGTGCTAGACGACACTTGTCAGGATTTGACTTCGGGTTTGGGAAGGGAAAAAAACGGACACCCCCCTCCAACCTCTCTGGGAAACGCGTATCTGTGTTACAAATGCCCCAGGCACAACGTTTAACCATATTTTTGATAAAACTACAACGGCAATAGCCTGCCGAGACCAAAAATAAGAGACGCCTGTGTTAAAGTCAATGGAGCGCTGTGAAAAAGTGTTGGACCTCTGTGGGAGCTCGTTCTTGGCTGGGCTGTGATTGGTCAATCTACATTCTAGGGTGTTAGCCAAAGGCGAATTACAAGTCTAAAGTCAATGTGAAGTAAATTAAAGTCTAAACCGAGAATTTTTACAGATGAATGTGGGAGGAGCTTGAGTTTGTTGCCCGGCTCGATTTGTTTGAACCGCGAGAGGCGTCAAAGCTTACGCTACTCCTACATCCTACATCATAGTTTATGAAGTTATAAATATGGATATTTTTCTTACAAAAACACATGGCTTTGCTGCAGAAGTCCTTTATTAACCCCCTGAAGCCGCATGGATTACTTTTATGATGGATGGATGCGCTTCTTTGGCCATCAATAACTAAGGTACCATTCACTTCCATTATAAAGCTTGGAAGAGTCAGGATATTTTTCAGTTTTGGGTGAACTAACCCTTTTAATGATAAAGTGGGAAAAATATGCCAAACCTTCTTGGTGGCGTGTTACATTTGCTACTCTGCAAGACCCAGCTGTGGTCCACTACTTTCCCGCAAAAAAAAAAAATGCTTTTGCTATTTTCTGCCTGATCTGTTTTTACCTGTCTGTGGGCCGCACACATTTGTGTGAAGGAATCCTGTAGGTATTGACAACCAAACCCCATGATTCGACCGACCGTCTGGCTGCACAGTCCAGCTACTTTAGCAGTGAAGTCCAGGGTGAAGGCGAGCTTGACCAGCTCAGGGGAGGCGTCTGTGGTCTCGGGAAGAGGACTGGGGATCTGGGCTATATAGCGATCTGCCAGCTGCTGGAAGGAGCTGTACGTCAGTTTCTGGAGGAAGTCCTGGACACTCTTATTCTTGCTGATCTAGAAGCAGAATTGTCATTATGTTGGTCAATATGACCAAATAAACCACAGAATGCTGGGATTGACCAGTCAGAATACAATGTCCTAAAGAGCCATGTAATAAAATATGTTAATAATCAATTGGGGTTTTTTCTTAAAATAACTTCTGTATATAGTGAATAACAGTCAAATGGCTGGAGAAAGGATGGACTCAAACTTAAGTAATGATTCTTTAAAATAAATGCTAACTTTTTTATCAATAATATCTCCATGTTGTTTCAGCAAGCTGATAATCCTCTCTGTATTGTCATCACCTGAGGAGACACAAGTGTGTACATTTATAACTTGTGATAAACTGAAACAAGCTTTGAATAAATTAATTAACAAGTAAGTAAAATCTCCCAGAGTTTTCTGTGGGATTTATTCTGCTCTAAAAACATGAATTGACTGGATCTCCTGCTTGTCATGTTTCATAGAGAATCACCTAAAGATCTGCAATCTTCTACACACGCAGAAGAGCGGTGTCGAGCAGAATCATCTTCCGGACTAAACTGGATCTCATTCACAATCCACTCCAATTCCTCTGAAACCCTCTCAAAGTATGTATTACTGGAGTCCACACTCACTACAGGGAGAGGAAGGGAAACAAAAAATGTACATACACACAAGTTTTATTTTTCTTTCAGATTTAGTTGATGTATTTGGACCAATGAAACAGTGACATTTAAGTTTGAAGGCCTGTTCACACCAGCATAAATATTTGGCACAAAAACTCGGCACTTTGGCGCAAAACAAAATTTCCGACAGGCTGAATCAAAATACAAATTCACTCCCAGACCGCTCATCGAAAAGCAGAAATGCTCCAGTTGCCCGAGTCCACAAAATGATGCGCAAGTTTCCATTTCTGACACCTGCTTGTCATGGAGAACAAAGGAAGTCAAAGATTACTTACATATTCAGATTTTTTCATCAAACAATACCAAATACAAGAGTACAGAGCCGGATCCAGATTCTTCCTCTGCTATTCAGTCAGTGGAGAGATGGATCACTGACACATAACACATAATAATACCATCAAAATGTAAAAATTAATAATCTACTTCATTTTCTTGAATGGGTTCACTATGGGTTCGAATATGCCTACTTCCATAGCAGATGAAAAACAGTATGCGAGCTGAGTGGTATTCATAGTACTCATAAAAGAGTAGGCAAAAAGTACCTGGATGATCTACTACTTCCGGTGAGATTCTGAAGTGTGCATTCGAGGGACACTTTACTATCCCATGAGGCCACGGGAGAGGATTTATGAATGGAGGTGAAGCGATGCCATTGACGCTGGTAAGTCACATGATAATGACAACATGGAGAATGTAGTACATCCAGATTACATTCATACTACACACATTCATACTATATGGAACACACTTGTTTTAGCAGTCGCGAAGCAGGTTTAAAACCAAACGTAGTACCTACTAACAGTATGCGATTTCGGATGGAAGTCAAGGAAACGAAAAGTGTTTTGCGACCACCGCTTTATTCAAGTTAAAATGTTTTTTTGCACCGAATTTCTGTACTGAACATTAGTCTTAGTGTGAACAGACCTTGACTCCCTAAATGACACGTTATCTCACCCAGAAATAAAAATGCTGTCATCATTTATTCACTCTCAAGTTATTTTAAACCTGTATGAGATTCATTGTTCTATTAAACGCAAAAAAGAAGACATTTGGAAGAATGTAAAGTTTATGGTCCCCATTGGCTTCCATAGTATGAAAAAAAATACTATGGAAGTCAAAGTGGAGCAGAAACTGATTGGTTACCAACATTCTTCAAAATATCTTCTTATAAAATAATGCCCCATCTGATTTGTTCCCCTATTTCTATATGACATAGCCTAGTTAAGCAACATCACACACAAGCAACCAGGATTTTTTCCCTAAACATCTGCACAATTGCAAATGGGATATTGACTTTATACAACAGTTCAATAAACAAGAAGTTAATATTTTGTTACATTTTAGACACAATATTGCCAATATTGTCTGTTTTTGCTCTATTTGGCAAATAAAAGAAGTTCCAAGCAAAGCCACAGATGGTGTGTGTCTTCGAGCAACATGAATGAATCAGCCATTTGAATGAATGACTCAATGACTGCCACCACCAACTGGAGGTTTTAGTTGCATATTTAAAGTATCATTTCATTTACAAAAATCGAAATACTATTTTTAAAACATACATTTCATAGCATTATTAATGCAATTGTAATTGCAGTGTAAATACATGTAAATGCAGCTTAAGATGCAGCTTTTATGCCACTTCTGCAGTGTAAAATGTATTTAGGCTAGTTGATACTGATGTCATTTAATTGGTAACAGTGTCTTATTATTCTAAATTAATTTGATTAAAGGAATAGTTCTGTCAATTCTGTCATCATTTACTCTTCCGCAAGTTGTATGAATTTCTTTCTTATGTTGAACACAAAAGAAGATATTTTGAAGAATGTTGGAAACCAAACAGGTGATGGGCCCCATTGACTTCCATAATATTTTTTTCCTACTATTGAAGTCCAACAACTGATTACCGACATTCTTCCAAATATCTTCTTTTGTGTTCAGCAGAAGAAAGAAATTAATACAGGTGTGAAACAACTTGAGGGTGAGTAAACAGAATAACTATTTTTGCACATTAATTTTAAGTGAACTATTCCTTTAAATGTAAGAATTTGACCTAACAGATGATGAATGGATCTAAAAAGGTTTACAAAAAAACTGAAATAAGTCAAAATGCCAATTGAAATCAATTAAGCTGGCAGATATCGCACACAACTTACGCACATAATTTAAAGAATATGAGAAGCTTCTGGAGTCAGCTGTCCATGACAGGCCAAAATAAGCCAAGGTACCAGCACAAACACACGAAAACTACTGTCTTATTACCATTATCAATAAAATCTCAGAAAATGTGAAGATTTTAGGCAATATCGCACTGACTCACCATCTGAAAGCCCTTCAACGCCACCAGGAACTGGAGTGGAGTCCGTTTGTAATGACTCTCTCTGCTCAACATCTCGAGTGCGGGACAAGCTCCTTCTCAGATTCCTCGGAGTATCAGCGTGGCCGGGTGAGCTTTCAAAAGAAGTGTCAACCCTCCGTCCTGTAGACTGTCCACGGTCTGTTTCTGAAGCTCCTTCTCCGTTCACTTTCAGGGCAGACTTCTTCTTAGAGAAGAGGTTGAGGAAGCCTCTAAAGGGAGAACGCCTCTTGGCTTTGCTTGGTGCCTTCAGGCCCGTACACAGTAAATCAGATTCTGATGTTGCGCAATCTGGGCACTTGCTGATCTTCAGAAGCCTGTCTGCTGACAGGCAGTGTCTGGAGGGGTCACTGGACGCCCGTCTGGCCTGGCTTCCTCGCTCATCCCTTTTCACCCTCTTGAGTTGTTTCAGCTGATGTTTCCCGCATCCTTCATTCAGGCTGAGGCTCCGCTTGACGTACGTCTCTAACAGACATTTAGCACACTTCTGATCCAACAACAGCAGATGAGAGTTACGGGAAGCAGACTTGAACATGTTCGTACTTTGCATTCACAATGTCTATAAGAAACAATATAATACTGTTAGAACCAAAAAAACACACACACACACACGATTCGTGTGACACGAACACTGTATTTTTTTCTATTTTATAGCATTTGATCTATCCAAAATACACACAACAATAACTTTTCCAGTTCCACATTGTTAGGTCTTTTTGAAAAATTACAAGTGTTTTGTTTGTTTTGTTTTTACCTTTATTTTCTTATTTCATCCCAAGATCTTCGTTGAGACTTATTCTGTGACCTTGGTAAGTTAAACATGATAACCAATGGTGATGGTGAAAATGACTCCACAACTGTGTGACAGGCATCATTTTTATTTATTTATTCACAATATCGAAACGATTTAGATTATTACGCTGTTTTTAGATTGTTCTCTTTTATCAATCTGATGAATTCATATTAAGGCCTATATATTTATTTCCTTAGACGACTAACGTTAAAGAATGCATCTGTTTTTATTAACAAGATCCGTTTATAAAGTCGGCTAGATTACTTGTAGGAAGCGAAAACACATTTTCACCAAAATAGGACTATGGTAAATGTCACAGTTAGACCACGACTTCATACAGTTTACAGTGTAATGTTTTCAGCAATATATATATATATATATATATATGAGCAAATCTAAACGGGCAAAATAAAACCGTATCTGTTAAAACGGAAGTTAGGTCCCGGTCAGTGGCGTGTGCGTGTCTCAAAAGTGACTGATGACGTTTCACAAGAACACAAGTAACGTTACAGACAAGAACGCATATTGAGAAACGGCCTAGCGAGCTGCTTAAGTTAGATATTTTTGGGCAACATGACCACGGTTATAATGGCTCCAAACGCTTGTCTAAGTAGGCAGCTCACTAAGTTTAGAGTTCACCTTTACATTCGTAGTCTCACAAACACACTTTTCATTTGTTGAGACCGCCAGACGCGCTGTCCCGTTCATTACTCTTATTATCATTAATTTAAGTAAATAAACCTCACCTTATTGGATGTAGACCACCTTTGGACGTAGAGATCAAATAACAAGCGTGCACTTACAGCGCGACAACTTCCCTGCAAGTTTGCGGTACCGACGGGATCACGTGACATTCATGGCCAACCACCTCATGAATATTCATTAGCATCGTGAATAATTTGTAGTCATTAGAAAACAACAACAAGAAGCACAGTCTAGTCTACATGTGGCGTCCTGAGACCCAGACAAAAAAAGTTTTTTGAATTTAGTTTTTCTTCATGTCATCACATTGTTTACAGCTTAAGAAACAAATGGTAAAAAAACAACAACAACAACAACAAAAAACAACATTTTTGAACAATGATATTTTGTTATGCCATGTCCTCTGAAGTGGACACCAGGACTCAGTTGTTTAAAAAATAAAATGACATGAAATTATATGTAGCCTATAGGCAAAAACAATGGGATTTTTTTTTCAATCACCAATATATTTTGGGGTTTTAGGATTTGTTTTAACCAAAATTTAAGATGATTCTCAAATATGTTATGAAAGATATAACGGAATTAATTGATTGACATGATTAATTGATTAATTTGCCAACAATTAATATTCCCGTTCAATGCAATGTATCTACTGTATCTAATTTGCATATTAATGTGTTCTTGGAGCAACTTTTAATGAAAAAACAAGTGTAATAATTGGAGTAATAATTGGCAACATTTGCCCTGAAAAGCCTGAATGTGCTCTTCACAGGACACCCAGATTGTTACATATGACATGTATGCTGTCAGAGAAATTCACTAATGGCGCTTTTCCACTACACAGTACCAGCTCGCCTCGGCTCGGCTCGACTCGCCTTTGTTTGGTTTTCCACTGTGTAAAAGTTGTACCTGTACCTGCTTTCGGGTACTTTTTTTCGTACCACCTCCGGCGAGGTTCTAAGCGAGCTGAGGCGAGCTAAGCCGATACTAAAATGTGACGTGAAAACAATGCCGACTGCTGATTGGTCACAGAGAATCTGCGTCATCATTGCACGCGCCAGATGGAGTATCCAGACTAACCCCGCCATTTTTAAATAGTTTGGCCAGAGATAGTTACTAAACTTACTTACTATTATTATGGCAACTCGGAAGAATACGCCGTGGTCAAACGAGGAGGTGCAGACATTCCTTTGTTTGGTTGCCGAAGAGAGGATCTAGCGAGAGCTTGATGGGGCAACGAGGAACGAAATGCGTCGCTATGACGACCGGGTACTATTTGTGGCGGTACTTTCTGCAATGGAAAACGGAGCGAAAAGCGAGCCGAGTCGAGGCGAGCCAAGGCGAGTCGAGTCGAGTCGAGCTGGTACTGGTAATGGAAAAGCGCCATAAAATATTAAAGTCCACGACAGTGGACAAAAGTCTATTCTGGTTCGGGTATAGACTACAACAAAATGCCATTTTAAACTCTCCACAAGATGGCGCTATTAATTCAAAGTTAATTCTATTCATGCAACAACAGAAAAGACACAAATAGTTTCCTCTCTTGTTGCTCAACAGAAATGCATCTCTGCATTTCAATGTCCGCCATTTATTTTCCTTGAGCCTCAAAAAGTAATAGCGTTATAGTGACATTATTAACGCACTGTAAACATTATTGCTGTTTTGACTTAGAAAAGTAAGTTACCTGGTTGCCTTAACATTTTGAGTTCATTGAAATTACGTTTATTAGTTAGGATAATACAATTAAGGAGATTGGTTTAATCAACAGAACAACTAAACATTGTGTTATCTAATCCACATTAATTCCCTGATTTAACAAAAGAAAAAAAAGTTGTGATAAAAAATCATGAAAATATTGTTTTACAGTGTTGCATCTTTGTGTACGTCTTCAACAAATCTGAAATAATTGTAATTATGCACTCTCTATAGTGTTCATAAAGGCCTCTCTATTTTCTCTTCTTAAACTGCATGCCTTAGGTTCAAATATTTTGCTATGTCATTCTCTTTGAGCTTAAGAAAACCCAGCTCTTCTTCAGGCTCAGTATTTAGTCAGCCTCCTTTGAAACAATCTCCAAAACCAATTGGAAATAATCAATGAAATATTTACAATGTAAACCGGTCTATTCATCAGACTAGGCACGGTTAGTTCCTGACCATCCTTTAAATTGACAAACTGTCGGACACCTTATTTACTTATTCCGTTCCATTCCGATAACATCTAAACACTTGACAGCTTGATGACTGCAGAAGCCTATCACAGCAGAATTCAATCTGGCTGGCGAAACATAACCTGTGCTTACATAGACTCGGCAGAGCAGATATTCAACTTAAATTCCCTTAGGAGACCATACGCAAGTCAAAATAGGGCTTATCGTGAGATCCTGTGTCTTTTTGGCATCTTTCAAACAGATATAGGTCAGGAAACACCATGTTACCTCTAAGTCACCCAAGTGAATAATTCACATGAGTTTAACTCAACTCCAGTAGTTTAATTATTCAGAAGTAGGTTAACACTAATGTTAGATTTGCTTGAAGTTGGTCAGCCAGGGAGATTAAAGGGGACATTGAATTCAATAAACAATAATATACATCATTCTACAAGACAGTGTAGCAACTTTTAAGTGCATGCAATGGAGATTATAAAATTCAGAGATATTTGCAGTGTAATTTATTTCCTCAGTCATTTGTGAAAAAAAGAAGTGCATTTGTCATACTTTTAAAAAGAGTATTTATTACGAAAATAATAAACCTTAAACAAATATACTTGAGTGTGAACTGCATGTAATATTTTCTGAAACTTTATCACATGTTATTTGAAATTAAGTGAAAACATAGCCTTTTATATAGTTTAAATGTATTTTAAATGAAGTGTGCTTTGTTTGACTGATTTAGGACTTAAGTGCATCTTTATATGTAATTTCATAATTAGCCTATACTTCTATTTGAAATCTAATTAAAAAAAATTCAAGCAGATAATATAATATTAATGAAATGCCACTTAAATGCACTTAAAGAGAGTTCAATTTCATGTTTCTTAACACACTCAAGTACACTTTTGAAAAGTGCATGTAAAAATATCAAATGAAAAGCACATCAAACGTACTGATTATAATTTAACTGTAATGTGTTATTTGATAATTAAAAGTTTGTGTATTTTAAATTGACTAAATTGCAATTGTATCATCACAAATGTGTAATTACAAATATATTAAATGCATGACATACAAGTTTTAATAGACGTGACATTATATATTTTAGTTTACCATAAATGCTTGTCAGTGCATTTATCAGTATAACTTTAACCATATTTCACAGACATTCGAAGTAATTATGAACTTGAATATAAAAATGTACAAAAGTCCTACTTTAGTGGGTCAAAAAAGCACTCTTAAGTTCAGCTAATTGCATTTAATACAAATTTAAACTAAAATATATTTTCATTTGAATGTAAATAGCAGGAAATTAAGTGTCCGATAACATCACATTCAATTCATACTTAAGTATGTTGTTTTAACATGTATTATTTTCATCAATTTTTCCTAAAAGTATGATAAAGAGCCATTCTTTTTCACAAGGGTGAAAATATGTTTGCTTACTGTTTTATGAATATACTATGATTTCGGACATACACATTTTTTGCATACTGTGTAGAAAGAAAGTAGGCATATTAGGATACGGGGAATGCATCTTATTGGATATTATAATTGAGATAGCAGTAATTATGACTAATTGCATAAAATTATGCTTAGGTTTTGGACTGAGCATATGTTTGAGTTCAAATTAGATGGGCGTCTTCCATGTTGTAGAGAAAGAGAAAATGGTGAGATGACAATAGAAAGCTATTGAAGTGTATTGATTGCGCGGGTGTGGAAGTTAGGACAGATTGAAAAAATATGGAGCAAAGGAGAAGGAGAGGACAGAGACAGATGACCTTTAGAATGATGAATGTTGCGTCTGGGGCTGCAGACTCAGAGCAAAGATGGACTATAACACTTTGTTTCCCCGTGTTCCCACTGTTATGTGACACAGCGGATGTCACAAACGCTGGTTGCAATAAGAGGCAGGATAATCGCAGCAGAAAATAAGGAACAGGTGGAGATAAACAATTAACAAATGAATAACAATGGCACAAAGGAAACAAGAACTAACACTAGGAAGTACAAACTAAAACAAAAACCTCATGTTACATTTACAGCACTCCCCATTAGGTCAGGATCAAGGTCAAGGTCACTTTTATTTATATAGCACATTAAAACAACATTACTGCTGACCAAGGTGCTTTACAAAAACACAATAAAAATAACAGTCGTACTAAAATACATAGTATAAAAATTTAACTCACTAAGACTACATATCCACAATTATGAATAGGCCTGAGAAAAAAGATATGTTTTCAGAGATGACTTAAATGCATATAAGGAAGAAGATGACCTAACAAATTGAGGTAACGTGTTCCACAGCTTAGGACCAAATACGGAAAAGGCTCTGTCACCTTAAGATTTCAAGCGAGACAGTGAGAGGATGATCTAAGAGATCTTCGGGGAGAGTGTGGACAAATAAGGTCTGAGATATAAACTGGAGTCAGACTGTGCAAGGCTTTAAATGCAAAAGTTAAAACCTTGTACTCAATTCTGTATATGACCAGTAGCCAATGTAAATGTGATAAAATCGGGTGATATGCTCACGTTTTTTCTTCCCTATTAAGAAGCGAGCTGCAGCATTTTGAACCAATTGCAAACGCAATAGTGAAAACTGGTTTATACCAGCATACAGAGCGTTGCAATAATCAAGCCTTGTTGAAATGAAGGCATGAATGACTGTTTCTAGGTTACCAAAAGAAAAGAAAAGAATTCAATTTCCGTAAACCCCTAAGCTGGAAAAAACTGGCTCTGACAACAGAGTTTATTTGCTTGTCCTCAGAATCGACAATAACACCCAGGTTATTTACACGAGTGCGGATATCGACTTGCAGAGGTCCTAAACTAGTGGTCAGGCCGTCTACCAAATGGGGGGAGCCAAATAAAATGACTTCAGTCTTGTTTTCATTTAACTGAAGAAAATGATCACCCATCCAACTCTTAATGTCATTTACACAGGCTAATAAATCAGATAAGGACTGAGGACTAAG